CTTAAAGAACTTTTTGAAAAAAGTTCCCTCAGATGACAAAACATATAGGCGCGCTTTTCGGTGGAGGATTGCGTGACATGCCCATTTATCTAACTAACGGACACTATATTGGGAATAATCCATATATATATTGCTATGGGTGTTTTACAGCCATTTGCATAAGTTGTTAGCTCAATTTTTAATTTATTAACAAATATGTATGTATGTATGTATGTACTATGTATTTATTTGTTGCTAGGCAATCACGTGTGATATGTATAACGAGCGTTAAAATTATTTGAGTAAAGATTCAATACAAGAGAGAACAATAATAAAGATAAATAAATGTAAAAACACGAAATCGTTGGCAAGGTCAGTAATATGTATGTAGAGATGGAGGTGATTCATGGCACGAACATATTCGTATATGTAGATACAATTGTATGTATGCATGTGCATGTATGTTTATTAAAGGGCCCGCGAAAATGCCCCTGCAGGGAAACCGCGGACTAGTGAATCAAATTTCTAGTTCCGTACCAGATCTTTATCGTCAAAACGGAACCAGCCCGATAGTTACCAGATCCCCACCAGTCCAAAATCAGCGAAATGTGGTACTGTTAAAAAACTATTTTATTTCAGTTTTTCCATTAGAAATTTATGTATATCTAAGGTTACGAATTTAGAACTGCATAGTTCGAAACTAACGAAAAAATGATGCAGCTGGGGCTTGTTTACTTTACTTAGATATGTGTTTGGCGGCTTTTTCGTTCAAATAAGCATATATTCTGCACTTCGCAGATGCTTTTTCATAGCTTGGTAATACATAACCAAAATTTGAGTTATCGTTTTAACATCTTGGTACCGTCTGGAATCTAATACGGTNTCGATGACAACACTGGTAAAACGGCCAGCTGTTGTCTTTTGTACAAGTAAACAAACAAAGCACGCGAGATTCCCGTCTGCGGTAAGCGCGTGGTGGGTGTTGCGGGCAACGAGCCTGTGGCTGCCACGTTCGATCCTTGGTTGGAGCGATCGCGATTTTTTTTTATGTATATATTTTTTATTTTATTTGATTTATATATTTAATTACACTATATTTTATTTTCATTTGCTTTATGTTATATCACATTTTTTTATTTTACTACTAGTTAATTAAAATTTTTAGAGTTGAATTTTATTAAAAAGCCAGCTACAACTAACTGAAGTCAACGTAAAAAAAATTTATAGAACTTGTAAAAGCAGAATGAAAACAAAATAAATGAAAATTCTACTGGCCGTGGGACTCGAACCCGCGACCTTGCGACTCGTTTATCCGCATTACCGTCGTCTGTAAGGGTAAAATTATTAGGTGCATATGTGTGCCAGATTATATGCATAAGCTTTGCCGTCTGTCACAGCTTTTAGATACAAATGGTCTTAAGAGATGGCACGTTCGTTTCACATGCAGTTTGGAAATCATGAAAAATTTCCACATGCTTGAGTTGAGTCGAAACCCGTAAATAATTGCATGACGAATTTCTTTCTGGGTTGGTGATGGAATTTCTATCGACTTTTCGTCAGTAATTTTATGCTTTCTCGTTTCCTTTCTTACCAATTTCACTGAAATTTAAAACAAAATTTCGTATGACTGCTACAAGACACGTATCTGTTATTTTTAAACTTTTCAAAACCACATAAAATATAGTAAATTTAGCGAACTTTTGTTTGTACCCACTTATAAGAGTTTTTAAGCATACAAAATGCACTTTAGTAGGTACCTACAAACTTTGGTTTTGCTAGACGTAAAATATACGGATAATTATCAATCGAAGCACTAAAAAAACTTGTATGCTTGTGCGAGATACTAACTAGTTGCTAAAAGTGAGGATATTCACCAAATTCCAAAACTTGCCCGCTAAGTGTAAAAGCGGGCAAAATCGCTAAAATGGGAACATTGCTACCAGTATACTATTTTTAGCAATATAAAGCGAGCATGGACGTGAACAGTACAGTGATATTCAATCATGTCACTTAGAAGGCCATAGCTCTCAAACAGTGTATTATCGAATATTTTAAAGCCACGGCAACTTGCTATGTTAACTACAGCATTGAACAGCCACATATCACAAGGGGATGTAGCTCAGATGGTAGAGCGCTCGCTTAGCATGTGAGAGGTACGGGGATCGATGCCCCGCATCTCCAGTTGACAATTTTTTCTATTTTTATTTTTTAACAGTTTTGTTTTATTAATGTTTTTATTTAACTTTTCCATATTTTTTCAAAATGAATAACAAATAATATACGCTGGAAGAACACCATAGCTAAAAAAAATTAAAAAATTGCGAAAAAACCGCTCTTCATTTTAGTCAAGCTTAGCAAAGCTTAACAAGTTCCGATCATAACTTATGGAACTTTAGTCTGATAAAAAGCACAGCAATCAGAAAACAATCAGAATTGTGCAGAGGATTGCATGCTTTTGGTATATACAGATATATGAAAAATAATAGGAACACGACATTTTGACCAGTTTTGAGTATTTTTCTTTTGTTAGTCATCAAAATCATATAAGTTAAAATTTCTAACTTTGTGGAAAAATTAAAAAAATACGAATTTTTTATTAAACATTTTTAGAAAAATTCTAGGTATGCAAGTAAAAGCAAGTTTAATGTGGCTAAGAATTTACGTAGATTTTTGATATTTTTTGTATTTTCGTCCATACAAAGTATGTATGTTCGACAATATTTTTTTTGCATGCAGAAAATAATAACACCATCGATAAACTCTTAATAAAAAATGTGTTATCGTTGAAAAAATTTGTTGAATTCTACAAAAAAAAAAAACAGCTGGTTATTTTACAAAAAAAAAAAAATACCTTTAAACAAACAAAAGAAAAATAACCAAAACTGGTCAAAATTGCGTGTTTCTATTATTTTTCACATGACTTTATGTATAGCGCTTTGAGCAATGCAACTCAAGAAGGGCCGCCACAAGTTTTCCCAACTGCCACATCCGCTAAAGGAGCCGCAGAAGTTAAGGGAATCAAAATTGTGGAAGCAGGCCAAATATGCGCATGCGATCTTGAGTGAATTCAAAAAAGGTCGACCCAACGGTGCCAACTTACATAGATGCCGAAATTGATCACATTACGTCACTCCGATACTTCTACTCTAGAATTCTTTGGGATTAGCAATTAGGGAATTATGGGAATGGGGAAAGGGGCTGGCGCCCTGGGTATCAGCAGATCTTCTGAATGACAACTGCAGAGTATTTCAGGCTGATATCTTCGCTATAGGGAACGTTGATTGTCTTATAGAAACTAGTAAGTCTCTATCTGAGGAAAGGACCGATGAAATGGATAAACACGTTGCGGAAGTACAGATCGGTGAGGCGGATAACTCCTTAAAACCACCGATATATTTATGACGCAGGCTTAACAAGTAGGGTTCGAACGATACTATCGATATTGAGTAAGTATCGATACTGAGGGTATAAAAATGAGTACTTTAATACTCGATACCTTATTTGGTGATTTTACTCGATACTTTGCAAAGTACTCGTAGTATCGAATACTTTTTAAAACGCACACTTTTTAAATTTTTTCTTCCATTGCTTTCTTTGTTTATATGGATTACTAGCATTCAATTTTGTCTATCACTTAAAATAAACTGCAATTGCGTGTATTCTGTTGCATAACATAAACCAAATAAGTGATGATTTAGTGGTCTTATTCATAAAAAATAAAGTAGGTTTAAAGAGCTTAACAAAATGACATTTTCATACATTTTTCAGTTTATAGACCTTTTTTATTTTTTATGAATAAGGCCATAAAACTTTACGCAAAGTTCACGAAAATGCGGATTTTTTAGAAACTTTTTGGGAATGCAGTTCTGTAACCTATTCAAATTTACGTGTAGCCTACTACCGTTGACTTTTAATTCAAACTTGCACATTATTATACTAAAATTGAATAGGCTACAAAAATGCATACTAAAACTTTACAAAAATTTCTTAATAAAACTTGAAATTCGTGAAAGTATATATATATACATATATATATATATGTATGTACATTTGACGTTAAAATTACTTCTAACCTGAAAGTAAGTTCTGCAATGAAATAAAAATCAAATATTTTAAATTTCTATTGTTTTAATTTCAGGAAATAACTAGATATACGATTGAAGAATAAAATAATTTTAGTATCCCAAAAAAAAGTATTTTAATGAGTCCGATACTGGGTAGTATCGATACTTTTTCCCTGATACTTTTAGAGTATCGATACCATGAGCTCGATGCCAGAATGAGTACTCAGTATCGATACCAAAGTCTGAAATTTCGAACCCTATTAACAAGGAATGAGCTGAGGAACTTTTGGGTTTAAAAATCCGCAGTAAGATTTCTTACAGGCGTTATCACTGGACTCTGTGTCCGTGCACCGACGCTCCATGGATGGTTGTATAACACTAGGTTCTCTCTGTAGAAGGTGTAGGGACGAGGCAGGGCAGGAATCGATTTGCCATTTTTTATAACATTGTCTAGCTCGACTTTTTGCAACAGCTTGTGGAAGGGATAACGGAAGTGAAACTGTAGGAGCTGCACAATTTTATTTGGGACAGTAAATTGTTTAATAGAGAACGAAAAATTTCACCGATTTTTTGACATGGGATAACGGAAATTCGTTCCAGAAATAAATGGTTTAACAAAGAGGTACAATCATGAGAATTTCGGATACCTCCGTCTAGAAGGACATGCGTCCTACTGGCACTCATGCTCAGAAGCTCAGATACAGGACCATTAAGCAAGAAGTTCTGCAAGTATTTCGAACTAACTGATCCAAAGTCACATAAAGAATATGTTTAGTGATAGCTTCTGAGCAGTGTAATAAAAGAAAACAAAATGTAAAGTTAAATACAAAACCATTTTGTTTATTAAATAACAACGAAATACCTTAAAAACCTAAAAAAATCAACAAATATTAATACTTTTAATTTTTCACAGTAATCCGAAACACCCATCTTGAATTCGCAGTTGTAAAACAGCTGCTAACCAAAGTAACCATTACCGAAACCACCACCAAAACCTGGGTAACCAAAACCGCCTGCATATGGTGGAGGTATCCCGTATGGTTGATATGCGGGAAAAGGCGCAGGCACGGGATATGGATATGCGCCACCACCACCACCACCACCACCGCCTCCAATGGGACCACGGTTTCCGCCTGTCAGAGCGCCCAGCAAATTGCTGAAGAGACCACCACCACGACCGCCACCACCGAATAGACCGAAAATACGGGCATTTGGATTGCCTGCTTGAGACGAAGCTGGTGAAGCGCCAAGTCCAGCATTACCCAGGCCAGCGCCTGGAGAGCCCGACGAAAGTGATTGTGTCACTGGATAGCGGCTACCAGCAAAACCAGCATCGATACTATTCGGATTGGATGAACCAAATGAGTTCGTTTGTGCTGGATATCTGGGAAAACGATTGTTGCCAGCGGCTGATGAGGGCAAGTTGAATTGGCCGCGAGAGGGTGCGCATGTGAGCGCTAGCAGGAGTGTTGTGAGGATCTGGAAAGTCGAGGAGGAGGTTAGAAGATGACACTAGGCCGGATCTATGAATAGAATTTTGCTACTTACAAAGGATCTCATCTTCACTACGTTTTATTTTACTTGTACGAAATGAATACTTCTCAGTTAGTTAACTGTTTATGCTTGACTTTAGGTACTTGCTAAGTTTATATACTAAAATTTTAGTTGTTTTCATTTAAATCGCACCTACGCACCCAAAACTATTGGATTATTTTGCAATAAAAATTTCACAAGAAAACATCCATTCTTGACAAGACGGGAAGTAAAACAGGTGCGATTTGCGAATATTCGCAAGCTAATAAAATTTCCATAAGCAGAAAGTATCAATTGTATATTCATTCTAATTCTAACTGCATCACTGACCTTAAACTCGGCATTTGAACTTTGCATACAATTTTATTGTCGACTCGTTTCGCTTTCATTCATCATTTAACGATACACGCTTTTTGACTTAACTTTGCGGCCAATAAACTCGAGCGATTTTATTGATTTAACAAAAAAATAAAAATAAATTAAATAAAAAAAATAAATAAAAACTATTAATAAAAAAATGATTCAAAATAGACAAAGCTTTATGCAAATTAGTACTGCGGAAGATCCGAGGCGACTATGTATCTACATTAGGGTGCTACACCAAAAAGTTGCGGTTTTTCCAGCGGAATTATAAAATGCATTATATTTTAAGACTTCCAACAAAGTATTTGTGGAAAAATATTAAAATTAACGTGAGCTGGACCGATTTGAGAATACCTCGAAGAATCTAATTATTTCGTTTCTTTTGAGAAAATATTAGACATTTCTATGCAGCCCTTTTAAGCTTAATAAGCTTGTAATATTTTTAAATACAAATCGGCACAGCTCAAATTAATATTCTTCGGAAATATTTTGGCGGAAGTTTTTATATATGTACATATAATAATTTTTTTAATTCCGATAGAAAAATAGTACCAATTTTTCTTCTTTTTTTTGTATGGCGAGTGATGTACCATAATGTGCATAAATAACTACAATGTGCATAGGTTACGCAGGCTTACACGTGAGTTAGCTCGCGAAGCAGGTGCTTGTAAATTTAATCTTCATAAATTTAACCTCCATACGCATACATTTAAAGGTCCACATATAGGTATCTATGTGCATTAGGGTGGTCCAAAAACAAGTAAAGTTGGAATTTTAATACTTTTACCACCTAGGATTGATCTAGACTGAAAATATTACACCTCGGTTTTTTTTCGAAATCAAAAAACATTTAGAGGTCGCTCAAAGCGCTCAAAGTTTTCCGTGTAGAAATGGTAGATATAGAATTCTTGAAAATCAATATTTTGCGATCGAATAATTTTGCTTCTATTCAGAAGACTCAGTAATAATATATATTAATATACAATTGTTTATTTAACCAGTTTTTAATATTAGCAATATTTATAGGACTTTAAAAACCTCAAAAAATGCAACCCATAAAAAATCGCCGGTACTGAAAAGTGGTAAAACTAACAATTAAATATTATCACTGCAAGTCTCTTGAACAGAAGCAAAGATTTCTGATTGGAAAATATTGATTATCAAGAATTCTATACCATTTCTACGAAAAATGGAGTTTTCCCATATAAAATACATGGAAACTTTGAGTGACCTTAGAAATTCAAAAAAAAAAACAGGGTATAATTTTTTCGGTGTAAAACAATCCTAGGGGGTGGGAGCATTAAAATTCCGACTTTAACTTTTTACATGAATTTCTGAACCGCCCTAATGTGCATACACAGTATCTATAAACACACATACACATATATTTTATACATATTTCTTTTCCACCTTCATTTATTGATCATCTCTTTTAATTAAAACACTTGTAATGCTAATGCCTTGAAATCATTTGCTCTTCGCTTCACATTATTCGCGCCACTATTCAATCTTTGTTTTTTTTTTTTAAATAACCACCAAAAGGTTTAAGTTTTGTTGACGATTTTTTTTGTTTTTATTAAAAACATGAAATTTTTTATCTTCACCTTTTTTTCGGAATTCCCCTCCCTGTTAATGCGTTGTATGTCTGCGCTACTGAAGTGATCGTCTGGGTCACCACAGCATCTGGGCTTACTTGTATATAAATCCATACGCATTTTATACGCTGTTTAGTTATAATTTTGGTATACCGTGAAATAGTTTTGTGTTGTGATTCAAGTAATGATGGGAAATTTCGTAAGTTGACCTTCAATGTTGTTGATGGGTTTCGTTTTTTTTTGTGGTGCTGTGCTTACACATTTAATGGTTTTTGAGATTGATTAGCTGAGTAGTGGGTTTAGTTGAAACTTTTTTTTTTTTAATTGAGATGAATGCAAGACATTAAAAAAACTTTAATTATGTGTAAAAGTTAATAACAAATAAACAGTATGTAACTAATTTAAGTCTCCCAGCGATTTTTTAAGTGATTAAAAATGTCTTCTGATTCTAAAAGATAGCTTTTAATGGAAATTACAGTCACACAGCACAGACGAAGTGCGACTAAAAATAAAATGAAATTCAACATACATAGAAGTGACGCCCGTGTATTTTATTTGTACTAAAAAAATTATTTAATTTAATTAATTAATGTTAGTGAGAAAAAAGTTTTAATTTAAATTGTTTGAATGGAATTTATTCATTTACTATGTACATAAATACATATCGCACATTTGCTGCAAGAGTGTCATAATTCTTAAGATTAAATATGCGAAAAAAAGATTTAAAGTTTATAGTTTCGGTGTTTCAAAACTTAGAGAATAGATAAAAACAGCGGATAAAGATATTATCAAACCTAAGATACTTTTATTCCATACCAAAGAGCAATGGCTATAATTGCTGAACTAAGCGGAAATGAGTAATGTCTCTATTTTATGAAGCACAATTAACGGTTCATTCTTCTTCTATGTGCTCTAATCCCAAGCGGGACATCCATTACGCCTGCGCGGCATTTACAATCGCCTTAATTTCCCTCCAGTTTAATCCGAGTTGCTTCGCCTCCCGCTCGACTGTTTTTCGCCACGTTTCATGCGCAGTGCCAGGGGCCTGCCTTTGCCGATTAGGGGGTTCCATTCCATAACCTTTGCAATACTGCTGCCTTCTTTGCGCCAGGTGTGACTTCTCCATTTCCATTTCTGTCTCCAGATCCAGATGTCTAGGTTCTCTATGTTAACTTTTCTAAGCAATTCCTATTTTGAGTTTGCCTTTGAGAAAAAAATTTACCAATTTGAGAAAAAACTGGCCTTTATTTACTCCTTTCTTTTGAAGCGTTAGTTCTTCCTAGCTCGTTTATTTACTCCTATATGTATTTTGTATGATTTCAATTCTGTAAAAAGTACTTTTTTGGACTTTCTGTGTGGAAGATTTTTCGATTCAAAAAAATTTACAACTTTTTGTTGTTGTTGCCGAAAAATGAAGAATTCTGAGACGTCACGATTTCACAATTTCATAGAGTTTTCCGTATATTGAATGTCACTAAACTACTAAACGGCTGGACTGATTTCGTTCATATTTGGAACATATTTCAGCACCTTGAAGGGAAATATTTCGACTAAAAATTAAATCGCTAGGTGGCGCTGGGGTCGGGATATTCATAAAAATTGCATTTACTTGCTGATTTGGCTCTTATTTAGAAAAAAATTTAGCCAATTTAAAAGAAATATTTGGACTTAAAACTTACGCGATAGGTGGTCCTGTGGCCGAGATATCCCCAAAAATTATTTCACGCTAAGAGAAGGATAGATATCTACTATATATTTGTGGAAGTATGTATGTATGTATATAAATATGTGCCAGGTTGCAGCCTAAACGGACGGACAGAATCGAACAAAATTTTGACAGAGTATTTCCATGACACCTGGGCCTATAATGGGGAGAAAAAATTGGGATTCGACAAGGGGGTGTGGCACCTCCCATAGGCGTGATATTTTTTATCAGCTATAACTTGGGAACCATAAGCCCCACGAACTTGAAATTTGGTATGCAGGCATAGCTACGGTAGGTGCTTTTCGTAAGGTGTATTTGAATGAGTTTATAAAAGGGGCGTGGCACATCCCGTTGGCGTGGAACTTTTTATCAGCTATAACTTCGGAACCATAAGTCACATGAACTTGAAGTTTGGTATGCAGGCTACGGTAGGTTCTTATAGTAAGGTGTATATGAATGAGTTTATCATCAGCCGACTCATTCCCTTCAATATTGCTATGTCCGGGAACCCAGCATAGTGTGACGTTGATACGGCTCAGTGACGCCAGTGTGGTGCCACATTTCCATACAATTCCCAATTTCATTATTCTAGATCCTATTGCCTTCAGAGCTGCTTGACTGTCGACAAAAATAGCGGCTTTGTCTTCTAGCGCCTATAGCGATCTTCGCTTGGAAGACACTGCAGTCGTTCGGTAGGCGAAAGGACCGGTTGATCTGCAGGTCCTTCGAGTAGACACCGGCTCCGGTTCCTTGTGCCATCTTTGAACCGTCAGTGTAGATGGATATACATACCTCCCCCTGCTACTGGTAGTCCTGCATCCAATTCTTCTCTAGTCGGGAACCTAATGGGTATATTCGTACTGAAGTCCCAAATAGGCATAATGTAATCAGTGCTGACTTCTATGTCAGCTTTAATTCCATTTATTCGGCCCTCTTTTAATTTCATTTAGTATTGCTGCGCGTCCGAAATTGGTACTGGAATCTTGTCGTATCAAATTACCAGTGTCGATATCAATAATTTGAAGTCTGAGCCCTTATGTTCAAGCCCTACTCCGTCCGAAATAGTACGGACTGCTTTCAGTTTTTGTATACTTTGCAATCTAACCAGATGGGATTGGGAGTTAACTTGCCTCCCACCAGACAAACGCACCGAAAGGCATCTGTTTTTTTTTAATTACTTAAAATTATAGAAAGAAAATATTCCATAAAATAAGGGCATTTGGATATGAATTCAGGGAAATTCGTATGCGAAAAAAGACCACTGTTAAAAACGGCGGTCCTTTCATACCCAAGTTAATCTAATAGCTTATACCTATGTGTTTTTAAGACGGTTGTCAGTTTTGTAGCAATTTCGCGACATGAAATATGCCGTTACCTACTTTTTTCTTGAAGAAATTTATCGAATTTAATGCTGGATTTCCACCAGGCATTAAATGGCAAAAATTACAAATGACACAAAATTTTTTGTCATTTCGATGCCAAGTGGAAATTCGACATAAGAGAAGCTGATATACACATATTTGTTTTAAAATATGGTATGTACGTAGGTATTCACACTTTCCTGGTTATTAGGTTACCCGGCTAAAAATTATTACTCTTTAATATGTTTTTAAATTGTAAACTGAATAAAAAGAAAACATATTAATATATTACCAGATAATCTGATAGGCAGGTTGTGTAGATTTTCAGTGTTTTGTAGGCTTTTGCAATTTTCTAAACATGTTTTCTCTATTTTTTCCCAGCAGAAAATCACCAGCTTCGCCGCATTGCTCTTCCTGGGCATAATAGCAACACCAGCAAAGGCACATTTCAAAAAATTCGGCGGCTTTGGTGGCTTCGGCGGCGGCTATAGTGGTGCCTATGCCACCAGTAGTGTCATAAACAACTATCAAGTGGCGCCCGTACCGGTGCCAGTACCAGTTTCGGTGCCACAACCCTATCCGGTGCACATCACTAAAGTAGTGCCTGTGCCGGTACCAATTTCAGTGCCCGAACCTATATGGCCCAGCGGCGGTTGGAGTGGTGGCTATGGCGGTGCAGAAAGTTTTGCGACCGCATCCGCATCATCAGGTAGTTTCGGTGGCGGCTATGGAGGCGGATTGGGTGGTTTTGGAGGTTTCGGCAAACATGGATTTGGCGGCTGGGGGCGGCGGCGTTAAATTTTTAATTTAAGGTTTTTCTTTATTTTTTTGTACGCGTATTTTATTTATTTTTATATTTTTTTTTTAAATACATTATTTAAATACTTAAATTCTGTGTTTTTTTTTTTACTTTAGTCGTTTGTTGAACTAAATATATCACCAATGAGCCGCAAGAATCATTTAAGTTAAGGTAATTTTTTGATTTTGTCCACATTTTTTCGAACCTTAAAAGGCACCTTGAAAAAATATTAAAACGTATTTCGGAGTATCATTATCTGTTTTTCAAAAAAAAAAAAAAAAAGAAGCGGGCAAAACATATTTTTCCAAAATAGTTGCGAACATCCGATACAATGATTTGGTGTATTTGCCTATGCGAGAAGTTTGATAGTCTATCAACTCTCTCCACTGAGCCTCTCCTGCAACCATCGTCAATCATCATTTCGCTATAAAGTCAAGTACTACTCGTATGTACATATGTACGTTAAGGAGCCCGGCATCACCACTATCATCCATTAACATCTGTAAACAATTGAGGTAAGAACACTGCAAACTTCTTTATAGCTTTTATCTTAAAGTAGAAATTCTTGCAAAACTTGCAATTGAAACAAAGCAATACACACCTTTCAGCTCACCTATGTACATATGTATGTATGTATGTATGGGAATAGCCATTGCCCAGCTCAAGGCCAAAGTCAGCAGCAAGCCAGCAATAGGGTGCAGGGTGGCCACACTTACAGATGAGTAAATTCACAGCTGGTTGAAATAACCTTTCACAGCCACCAAACCCAGCGTATGGAGAGTGCCAGCTAACAGAGTCCTAAATAAACATTTCCGAACAGACAAGACATAAGAAAACAATTCATTTTTAATTGGAAAAAAGCACCAGTAAAGTACAAAACTTTTTAGCTACATAACTAGTGTGCTCGTACTTGTAAAATGCATAGAAGAATTTTCGTGAACGGCGATGATACTCGTACATCAAACCTAATCAGTGAGAGGTGGATGGATGGTCAATATGAAGCTGTTGTCGCTTGACCAACTCAATCACTTGGGTATCACTTTTTTTTTGTTTGTTGACAATTGCTGTAAAATTTCATCTCACAGGAATGATACATCTCGGCTCGTCTTCAAATATATCTGGCGCCTGCAATCTACATAAAGGAATCTCTGAGAGGAAGTAAGGTGGGGAATACATGCACACGCACATCCTATGCTATTTTTTACTAACTGCAAAGTGTGGGCAATTATTGCATGAGGAAGCATGTTTTGATTTCATCATAACCGAAAATGATATAAGTGTTTGCGGCAGAGTGAGGGTGGTGGTTGATGAGGAGCATAACAATAATGTGGGCATGTATGTATGTACGAATATTCATATGTAGCCGTAATTTGTCTCATACATATATGTATGTATGTTGCGGGCGCAGCAACAATAATTTCGTACATAAATAACAGCTGTAGCAATAGAAATAACAAATGCGCTCGAAATCTAACAGCAGCAATAACAAATAAAGCAAAGATGACCGGAAAAATGCCCTGAAGGATAATGGATGGACATATAGCTGTATACCTACTTACATTTGTACGTGTGTGCATGAAGTGACCACAGACTAATATTGCTCCCAGATAGCTGTTAATTTTTTTTTTTTAGGTACTGCAAATATCTACATATGTGCATGTACATACGTATAATGATAATAATAATAGACTTATGGGCAAAGAAAATACTCACAGCGTTTTTGCCTGCAAAAAATGATAAATATAGTAGACAGTTAAATAAACAAAGAAAAGTAATGGAAAAGAGAAGCAACATTTATTTGTTACTAACTTTTGCCCGTGGCCCCGCACGGGGTATATGCGCTTTAACGTTATGCTGACAAATTTTACAGCTGCTCCTCAATCAGTTGTAAGTACCGAATACTTTGGAGTTATGCTGATCATTTTTATGCTCCTGCCCAGGTGGTCATCATCGAGTCAGTCTCGATATTGGCCTTTCCTGGGAATTCTGGGATAAGAATTATGTATCAGCACTTGGTGAATATTTGCATCGAAATTTAAAAAATTCAGCCGTTTCAGTATAAAAACCAGCTTTTCTTTCGTGTATAGTTTTTATATGTAACATAAATGGAAAAAGTTTTTTTTTAATAAATTTTTTTTAATAAATAACTTTAAAACTAATTTGGTAAAAATATATACATAAGTTACAGTACTTATTGATTAAGTAAAATTTTACTTTTAAAATAATAAGCGACCCTCTTCCAAACTATTTTGCAGCAAAACGTTCTTTATCAACGGCAACGAGGGCTTTGGATATTTGGATAATCGAATATTCGAACTATTCGAATGAGGAAATATTCGAATAGAAAAATTCGAATAATCGTTCTCCGCCGAATATTCGAATGATCGCTCGTGTTCAATTATTCTAATATTAGTAGTGCAAGAATTTATTTGTAGTTCATATTATTGTCGCTAGGCGAATCCACATTCGTTGGAGGCATTAATACAAATAATTTTATGAGTTTGTACTTGCATTTCATCCCCCTATTCATTTTGTGCACTTACTTTAGGTGATTGGCTAAAAATTTAGGGGGACCGGGGCTGTTTAAAGCCCCAAACTCAACTGACTTTTCTTCCGCTCATTTTCAGAACATCACAACTAACGCTACGATCGAACGAGAAAGAATTGAGAAAGAACACCAAGTATGCTCGAAGAAAACTAAACTTTCCGTGTTCCCAACCTTGCGGAAATTACATAAAAAAATACTTTCGACTTTATTTTAATATAAAATGCTAAGAATGGGTTTTTTGTCAAAAATTTATTTATGTTACCCGATATATTCAAAACTCTGCCAAATCGTTCATTATTCAAAAATCATTATTCATATAAATTTACTTTTAAAATAGTGCAATTTGTCGAGGACAACATTGACAAACTCCGGCAAGAGAGTAAAGCAGTTGGTGCGCAAGTACATTTGCACTCCACTGCTGTTTTACCACTTACTTACCCTTGAACATTTCATTCATCATTAGTTTTACACCTGAATGACGTTTTCAATCAATTCTCATTTACTATATTCGCACACTTCAAGCGTTTTATTTACTCTTAAGTGGCATCACAATATTATTTTGTAGCTTACGCCCAGTTTTCAATAATACTGTTATTCTTTATATTTATTTTATTTCACTTTTTATAGGTTTTAAGTCAATTTATCACCGATTGTTTTTGTTGTTGGTAACAAACGTGTGCGGAATCGCTAAATAGTTGTCTGTCTGCTTCGTGACCAAGCAGCTATTGGCGTGCTATACGCATTGTTAAGAGTTGTTGGGCAGACAAGTAGCGTTATAAATAAATTGTGTAGGTCTAGTTTTATTTACAGACATATATAAATTGCAGATTGTCAATAAATTTAAATTTTCTTTTACATAAATAGGTACTTATGTATATACATATTTTGTTACTATTTCATATACAAAACTACCCTACCACTGGCGCATAAGTGAGAAACGCGCAGTTAGCCACAGTTCCGTTATATGGGGATGTAGCTCAGATGGTAGAGCGCTCGCTTAGCATGTGAGAGGTACGGGGATCGATGCCCCGCATCTCCAAAGAGGGAATAATTTTTTTTTTATTTTTTACTAAAAATTTAAATTTTATTAACTTATAATTTATTTTAGTAGTTTTGTAAACCGTTTGCTTGAGCTCAGAAATAGTTTTTTCGTTTTCTGACAAAACGAAAATTTCGTGTTAATACGCTTTTGAGGAACGTGTGCGAAGTTATAGATTTGATTTACTGATATTAAGTTCAGCCAGATACTTATCGCCTCCATTAAATTTGCAATTTATCTATCGCTTGTTGGTGTTCACACACAGTCCACTGCTCGATTAGCGAAGTGCTCAAGTAATGCAAAGTAGGTTCAACTAAATTTGTCAGCCCTTTTTAATTTGAAAGCACATTCGGCAAAGCCACATTATTTTGGATACATTTGAAACTCAAACAACTTTTTAGAAAATCCTTTCTTATTTTTATTAAGAGTACACTGAGAAAAAATCAACCAAAAATTGGTTAATATTATCAAATTCAAACTTGAAAAGGAATCAACGTGATTTTTGGTTAATATTAACAATGCCTTGGTTGATATTTTCAACAATGATTTAGTAATATTAACCACACTTTTTATGCGTTTACATAGTTCAGAGATACAAAACACAAATTTATGTTATCATTTTAATACGTTACCTCTGGCGGGATTTGAGCCCGCATTTTCTGAAACTGCACACTCAGCTACAGCCGCTTTTAAAATGTGTCTTCAAATGTTCAACTTTAATCAATTTTCGTCGTTTTATTTGGTTCCGCACTTCACAGATGCTTTTTCGTAATTATTAAAAACCAAAAACAGAAAAAATAAAAATGATGTGTTGCGCTGACGGAATTCGTACTCGAACCTGCTGTAAAAATAACAACAAGCACCTCCGCACGTTCAGCTATAGCCAGACATACGAATTTGTTTTCGAATGTGCAACTTAAATCACATTTTTACAATCGGTGTATTAGCCATGAAAAAACCAATGTACTTTTAGCTCAGTACAGGGATGGTAAGATTAAGCAAATGATCGAGTATTGCCTTTCAAACATTGATTTAATTGAATCGAATTCTTTGTTCTAATAAATCGATTAATTTTGAAATAGCCATCAAATAATTTGAGCATTGCTGCCACACATACTTTTTTTTCATATCAAAATCGTTCTAAAACTCGTTTAAAAATGTACCAAAATGGTAACTCTGCTTATGAGTAAAACAACTCTGTAGCCTCAATTGTCAAAGAACAATTTTATGTTCAATATGCTGTCGGTATGGAAACAAAACAACAACGCAAAGATTATTTCCTCAAATCTGTACAAATTCAACGAAAATTGAATTTTTTCTTTAAAGAAAATTTAATACAAGCTGACAGGCGATTTGAAAAATTCCAAGTCTTTTGGTAAATTGAAAGGTGAATTGCCTTGAAACTTGCCCGAGTAACATTAAACCTACATCGAGAGTAAAATTTT